GGAAATAAGAAAGAAAGAGAGATTGATACAAAGAGAGGTGGAATACAGGATTAGAAGGTATAGAATATTTTATTGGCATTCCAGAGGAAGTAATAGAGAAGTTGGTGAAGAGCAAATTTGAAGAGGTAAATGAATGAATATTTTACAGAATTGGTGAAAAATGCATCAGATTTCAAAGAGTTCAGTGAACTCCAAGTAGAATAATGAAGAATTCCACACTTAGGCTTATGATTGCAAAACACCATTGACAAGGGTTAAGCACGAAAGAGAGATTAGGAATGACAGCTAGACTAGTGACTGGATTCTGATCAGCAGTAGTACAAACAGAAGGCAGTGGGGCAGTGGCTCCATGCTCCCAATACAGGGGCCCTGGGTTCGATTCCTGGTCTTTAATGTGCTGAAGAGGAATTATGTGCCTAGAGAGATTTCTGTATACAGCCCAAGTAGAGGATAGAAATGTATTTTTTGAGAAACCACAACTGGAGAGTTTACTAAAAAAAAAAGTTCTGAATGATGTTCTTGGGGAAGAAGGAAAATGATGCAGAAGAAACATCTGAAATGCAAAAAAAGAATGATGATCAAAGATAATTGGTCACAATTTATAGAAATTTAAATAAACATTGAGTATGTATTACATATATGCAGGCACAAAGGGCACAAAATTATCTTTGATGATAATGTAATAGCAGGGAATTCCCCACTGACATTTATGCTCTGATTTGAAAATCCTTAATGGATGTAATAAACCTTTTTAAGTTTCATGTTTTTTTTATGACAGACTTAAGGCAACATTTTTTTTTAGATTACTTTTTAATTAATTGAAGGATAATTGCTTTACAGAATTTTGTTGTTTGCTGTCAAACATCAACAAGGCAACATTTTAATGAATGCTTTGATTTTTTTAAAATTATTATTTATTTGCTCCAGGTCTTATTTGAGGCACTTGGGATCTTTGATTCTTATTGCAGCATGTGGGGTCTTTAGTTGTCACATGTAGAATCTAGCTCCCCAACCAGGGACTGAACTCAGGCCCCTTCACTAGGAGCACAGAGCCTTAACCACCAGAGAAATCCCATGAATGATATATTAATGAAATGCTTTGTAGAGGAAAAATACCCCTGATTTAGTTATTGTAGCAGATCATGTTTTCTCCTAGCCATGTTCACATGTTTATGTGATTTTTTACAATTGTAATAATCTGTGAGTTGTAATCATTGTAGGTTAATACAGACTCAATACTTAATCTCTGTATATCTTTAGTTGGATATGTTATTTCTCATATAATAGGATAACACGTAAGAGGGAAATATTAGTACTTACGGTTTGTCTTAAGAAGTCAGTGAGTTCATAGATGTGTTCAGTATAGCTCCAAGCCCAGAGAATTGTTTAACACGTTTGCTGTTGTTATTGTGGTGATGTTTTTTCTATTCCATTGTGTGAAATCACTTTCCATTTTTATATTTTTCATAATTCATCAGTACAATATTTGGCGTGGCATGGTTTAATCGATAGCAATTTTTTTGTGATGTATTAATACCTCCCTTTAGATTTAATAAATGTGGTAGTGTATCTTTACAGCTTTGTTGAGGTGTTTCTTTGTTATTTATTTATTATTTATTTTATTTATTTTTCGCTGTTCTTGAGTTTTCATTGCCACACAGACTTTAGTTGTGGTAGGAGGGAGCTAGTCTCTAGTTGCAGTGCCCCGGCTTTGCATTGCAGTGCTTGTCTTGTTGCAGAGCACCGGCTTCAGGGCTTGTGGACTCGGTCGTTGCAGTTCCCGTGCTCGAGAGCGCAGGCTCAGTAGTCACGGCACTCGGGCTTAGTTGCTCCTCAGCGTGGGATCTTCCCATATCAGGGGTCAGACCTGTGTCTTCTTCATTGGCAGGCAGATTCTTTACCACTGAACCACCAGGGAAGCTCTGGGGTTTTTTTTTTTGACCACTCCACATGGCTTGGGGGATGTCAGTTCCCTGACCAAGGATTGAACCTGGGCCCTGGCAGTGAACGAAACATGCCAAGTCCTGACCACTAGACTGCCAGGGGATTCCCTCTTTATAACTTTGAGTGGTTGTGTAACACACTTTAGTGAGTGTGTTTTGCTCCTTTGTTTGACTTTGAGTTATTTCCATTTCTTGGCTCTTATAAATTATTATTCTTATAAATAATACTAGAATGTGGGAACCTAAGTTGCACCGTTTTATAGTCTTCAGTAAAATAATGAGTTTGAAAATTTTATGCCAAGGTAGGAATGATTTTTAAGTGCTAATCTAATAAGCATAAAATGGTACTTATTTTCCTATTTGTGTGCATTTGTGAGGTTTTTTTAGACTTTTATTTTCCTAGTCTTTATTTTCAGGTTGTTGTTGTTGTTGCAGTTCTGTATTATTCTGTAGTCAACCATTCTCCTTGCGATTTGTATTTGCTGCTTTAAAACTAATTTTCTATGACATAATAGTTTACATTTATGTAAATGTAATAGTTTACATTTATGTAAATAGTTAACTTTGACCATCCCTCACAGTTATTTTGATTAATGCATTAGTGTTTGCATAGTATTCTTTTGAGGGTGAGACAGCCAAATAACTTTTATTCAAAATCAACATGTTTTGTAAAAAAGAAGATGGAGTATTTATACATGTCAGTTGCTTTTCATTGTTAATATTTACTTTTTAAAATAAGGAATTCTTTTTTTTTTTTTTTTTTTTTTTTAAGCAGTCCACCATGGACCTCTTTGTTTGTTTGGCTGCGTTGGGTCTTAGCTGCACCACGCAAGATTTTTCACTGCAGCACTCAGACTCTCTAGTTGTGGCTTGTGGGCTCTCAAGTTGTGGCCCAAGGCTTAGTTGCCCCAAGGCATGTGGGATCCCAGTTCCCCCATCAGGGATCAAACCCCTGTTTACTGCATTGCATGGTGGATTCTTAACCATTGGACCACCAGGGAAGTCTCTAAAATAAGGAATTCTTACCTCAATTTATAGTTGAGAAAATTGAGTTAAGAAATATCCCCACAATCACACAATTGTTAATGTTAAAGCTGGGTTTTGAATATGTGATTATAGAGCCTCAACTTTTGCATGTAGTTATCTATAGTTGTTACCTATTTTGCTTTACTAAAGCCACAGCTGTTCCATTAGTTAAGGGTATTTCTAGTAGATACATGGCTTCTCTATATTTTTCATGTACAAGTTTTACTCATGAAATGAATTTTTTACTCTTTTATTGTATTTGTCAAGATTTAGGAGTTTGATTTTTCTGAGAACCATAGTCTTTATTATTTGCCATTTTGGAGGGTAGGGACATATTGGTATTTTCAGAATTGAGTAAAAGGAGAGAGGGTTAGTATGTATTAATAAATAAATTTTCTTCTGTCAAAATGCTTAACATGAAATTAAATGTTATTTCCGTGGCAGGAAGGGTAGGCTGTCACAAACTCTTCACAGTTCTTTTCTGCCATCAGTCAGAAATTAAGCTATACTTAAAATTCCCAAATCACATTCAGTCCCCTCTGCTCCAAAGGCCAAGTGGTGAGAGGCCACTGCCCTGGTGAATGCAGGAAGGGGGTGTGTCTGTAGAGAATTTTAAAATAATAAAATTGACTAAAAGCCAGATGTTTATATACAGTTCTAAACAGTGTCAGTAGTAAAATAATGTCCACTAACACCACCATTTCAAGGCCCAGCCCTGTTCCCAAGATACAAATGGACCTTGACATGGAAAAGGGCATTGTGTCTGGGTATTCTCCTTTTTTCCAGATTGGATTTCAGTTGATATGTGAAAGGAATCCAAAGATCCATGTAAGCTGTGGAGTATAATTAAACAATGTTTCATTGGTTCATACATTCAAGTTATGTTAGCCATGTTAGTTGCAAAGTATGGAAACTCACTCAAAGTGAAAAATCAGTTTATTAGGTTCAAGGGTACAGGGGAATTTCATGGTACATAATTACAGGAAGTGCAGTTAGGCCTGTCAGAAGCTGAGTCTTCTCAGCAGCTCTCTCTGAGGCTCTTCAATTCTTCCTATCCAGAGTTCTGCTTTGTTTGGCTATATATTGGTGTTGATGATACTTAAAGGCTGTTTTCCCGCCTCTCCCTAAACTCCATGAGTCAAGGTCAGTTGTAAGAACTCTTAAGTAGACAGAATTTATGACGATGTCCTGATAAATGGCTCAATGTGTGCCAATTGTTCTTTAATGAAAATCAAATCCCTGGTATCTGCAGGTCATAAAGCTTCCTTGCTGTACCTTCTGGTACTTGTCATCCAGGAGAGGGGCCTTACAGTTGAGAAGACAGAAGTAACTTTATGGAAAAGGAGTGAACTCTATGGAGAGGATCATTAGTGTACTTGAGAAGGATCAACCCTGTTGTTTGATTGAATGTGATGAGAGAAATGTATATGTGCGTTCTGCTTCCTTTCCTTCTACCTCTTGAATACTCTTCTCTCTCACCCCTCGCCTCATGATCCATTTCTGCTCTGTGTGTGTGTGAGAGAGAGAGATTAGGTGATGTATGCAAATGATCACTTTAGATGGTAATATGTTAAATAATTGTTTTAGACATTAAGAATAAACACTTTAAGGACAGATGGAATAGTGCATTCTAATGTAAGGCAGAATGCTGGTTTTGACTTGGAAAAAAGTTTCCATTTATGGAATCATTCAGACTTGAAGGTCTCTGTCACAAGTTAGATGGCAATAAAAATTTACTCTGAAAAATTGCTCTTGATAATGCAAATGGCCAAGATAATGTGCATAGTTTTAACTATAATATTTGTAAGTAGGTTGGGGTAAAGCATTATGTCTATATTAATAGTATTTTATGGAGATGTTTTTATTGTATAGGTAGCTAAATTTTACATATAAACATTTCAAGTTCATCTGCTTAAAAGGTTTATAGTTCAAGTTGAGCCCAAAACTTTAAAATATTGTTTATTTACTCTAAATTTGTAATTTTAATGCACTAACTTTTAAAATTTACAAATGAATCCTATAATTATTTAGCAGGTGACATCTAAAGGAACTGGTTTAAATCCTAATGCCAAAGTATGGCAAGAAATACCTCCGGGAAATACTGACGCTACGCCAGTAGCTCATGGAACTGAAAGCTCTTGGCATGAAACAGCAGCTACATCAGGGTCTCTTCCTGAGGGTAAGTCCTAAATATTTCATCAGAATGCATCACAGTTTGGTTAAACATTTGACCAACCAGTTTACAGAACTTTGGGGTACATCCTTTGATTATTTGATAAGATATATTTATAAATGTTTAACATGTAGTTTGCATACCATTCTTGTTTATATCCAGTATGAGTAGATTGTCGCTAATTTCAGAGAGCAGCTGTGTCTTTGGGCTCAGTATTTAACCCATGTATAATATGGTATTTGTAAGTTTGTTGTGATCTACCGTCATTGACAGTGCTGTTTACTCACTGTTTGATCTTGGGCAGATGATTTAATGTTTCCATGCCTGTTGTCTTCATCTGTAAAACATTGGCAATAATAGGTTGGCATTGAATTTTCTGAGTATTAAGTAAATAATGTGTGTGAAGCTGTCATATACATAGTACTGTGTAAGTTTGGGCTGGTTTTTTAAATTTATTTGTTTGTTTGGCTGCATGTGGGCTCTAGAGTGTGCAGGTTTCAGTAGATAAGGCGAGTGGGATCTTTCTGGACCAGGGATCGAACCCATGTTCCCTGCATTAGCAGGCAGATTCTTAACCGCTGGACCACCAGGGAAGTCCTTAAGCTATTTTTAATCCTTTTTTGCAGGGGGGGGGGGGGGGGAAGCTGCACGGGGTCTTAGTTGCCACATATGGGATCTTTGGTTTCAGCATGTGGGATCTAGTTCCCTGACCAGGGATTGAACCTTAGCCCCCACATTGGGAGAGCAGAGTATTAACCACTGGACCACCAGGGAAGCCCTTGTTGTTAATCATTTTAGCTTATTTCTAATGGTCAAGCTTACGTCCTGTCAAAGACAGTTCTTATTTAAAACCATATGGACATTTTCCCAGTTGATAGAATTCTTTGAAATCTTGTTATAGAAGACAATTGCCCAGAGTACCTAAAGATAGGATTTTAAAGAATTACGATTTACTTTCAGTATGTTTTCTTTAATACAGGTAATAGAGAACTTGCAGATGATATGTGTAAGGAATATGAAGTAATGTATTCATCTTGTGAAACCGCAAGAAATACTACAGGCATTGAAGAATCAACTGATGGAATGATTTTGGGGCCAGAAGATCTGAATTATCAAATATATGATGTTTCTGGTAAACTTTATGATTTTATTGGTAAAATGAGAATGCAGTGTGCTAGTCTTTTCCCACTTCCAGTTTTTACTTTATCATTGTTCTAGTAATTAGTAGCATTGATCAGTCTGTTTTATTATTTCAAAAGAAGTTTATATTAATGGAATATTAGGCGATTTTTATCAATAAAATGGTCACACATGAATATTGTAATTTTTAAAATATTTTTAAAGATCTTATTAAAAGAAAGTGTGAAGTTAACGATAAAAGGAAAAAACAGTCAACATAGTTAAAAGAGACCTAAATTACAGTCTTTCAGAGAGTCCACGTTTCTTGGTCTATTAGTGGGACTTGACAGAACTTGTCAGCGCAAGCTCTGTCGATTTTCCCATCACTTTTGTCAAGGAGAAATGCGTTTTAAATGGTATTAATTTTGAGATTATATATGTGTGTTTTTTGTGTATGTGTATGGGATTAATTTTGAGGAAAAGGTTGTATTAAATCATAATTCTGTTGTAGTTCAGCTTGTGAGAGAATGGTTTTTTTTTCCTCCACATTCTTTTGTTGGCATAGGTTGGTAGTTGCTTGGATTTAAAATGGATGAAATTTAAAGGAACCTAAAAATAGACCACAGACCCTGATTACCTAACTTCATTTTTCTAATTTCCAGTCTCTTTGGAAAATAAGTGAAATAGGGAGTAGGCATTTCTATCACTGCTTAGTTACTTATATTCAGTTCAGTTTCTCAGTCATGTCTGACTCTTTGTGACCCCATGAACTGCAGCACGCCAGGCTTCCCTGTCTATCACTAACTCCTGGAGCCTGCTCAAACTCATGTCCATTGAGTCAGTATGCCATCCAACCATCTCATCCTCTGTTGTCCCCTTCTCCTGCCTTCAATCTTTCCCAGCATCAGGGTCTTTTCAAATGAGTCAGTTCTTCGCATCAGGTGGACAAAGTATTAGAGCTTCCACTTCAGCATCAGTCCTTCCAATGAATATTCAAGATTGATTTCCTTTACTGATTTGCTAACATTAGTCAGCAAATTTGGAAAACTCAGCAGTGGCCACAGGACTGGAAAAGGTTGGTTTTCATTCCCATCCCAAAGAAAGGCAATGCCAAAGAATGCAAACTATCCCACAGTTGCACTCATCTCACACGCTAGCAAAGTAATGGTCAAAATTCTCTAAGCCAGACTTCAACAGTACATGAACCGTGAACTTCCAGATGTTCAAGCTGGATTTAGAAAAGTCAGAGGAACCAGAGATCAAATTGCCAACATCTGTTGGATCATCAAGAAAGCAAGAGGGTTCCAGAAAAACATCTACTTCTGCTTTATTGACTATGCCAAAGCCCTGTGTGGATCATAGCAAACTGTAGAAAATTCTGAAAGAGATGGGAATACCAGACCACCTAACCTGCCTCCTGAAAATCTGTATGCAGGTCAAGAAGCAACAGTTAGAACTGGACATGGAACAACAGACTGGTTCCAAATAGGGAAAGGAGTACGTCAAGGCTGTATATTGTCACCCTGCTTATTTAACTTATATTCAGAGTACATCATGAGAAATGCTGGACTGGATGAAGCACAAGCTGGAATCAAGATTGCTGGGAGAAATATCAATTACCTCAGATATGCAGATGACACCATTCTTATGGTAGAAAGTGAAGAAGAACTAAAGAGCCTCTTGATGAAAGTGAAAGAGGAGAGTGAAAAAGTTGGCCTAAAGCTCAACATTCAGAAAAGATCATGGCATCTGGACCCATCACTTCATGGCAAATAGATGGAGAAGCAGTCTTTTTGGGCTTCAGAATCACTGCAGATGGTGACTGCAGCCGTGAAATTAAAAGACGTTTGCTCCTTGGAAGAAAAGTTATGACCAACCTAGACAGCATATTAAAAAGTAGAGACATTACTTTGTCAACAAAGATCTGTCTAGTCAAAGCCATGGTTTTTCCAGTGGTCATGTATGTATGTGAGAGTTGGGATTATAAACAAAGCTGAGCACCAAAGAATTGATGCTTTTGAACTGTGGTGTTGGAGAAGACTCTTGAGAGTCCCTTGAACAGCAAGGAGATCCAACAAGTTCATCCTGAAGGAAATCAGTCCTGAATATTGATTGGAAGGACTGATGCTGAAGCTGAAACTCCAATACTTTTGCCACCTGATGTGAAGAACTGACTCATTTGAAAAGACCCTGATGCTGGGAAAGACTGAAGGTGGGAGGAGAAGGGGACGACAGAGGATGAGATGCTTGGACGGCATCACCGACTCAGTGGACATGAGTTTGAGGAGTCTTCGGGTGTTGGTGATAGATAGGGAAGTGTCGTGTGCTGCAGTCCATGGAGTTGCAAAGAGTTGGACATGACTGAGCGGCTGAACTGAACTGAACATTAGTCAAGGTCTATAAACCTTTGTCCTTAGTTTGTTATAAATACCTGCATTAGATTTTTCAGGTCAGCCAGCTTGAAAGTTAATTCCTCAAGTGAAATGGGATGGTAGTTCCATATAATAATGAAAGGTTGAAAAATAAATAAATAAATAAATAAAGGTTGATTAGGTTTTACTCCCTCATGTTTTAAAATATCTAACGACTGGCTACATTTTGAACATAGAGTTGGTTTAAGTGAAGTGGCAACCAGTTGTATTTTTAAAGGTTTACTATAATGACATTGGAAGCTTAAGCATTTTGGTGGATGAATTTTGTATTAGAAGGGTTGCATATACTACATAGAAATAGAATGCTTTTTATTTTTAATGAAATTAATATCTAATGACATTTTGAGTCTTGCATATAAGACAAAGTAATGGTAAAATCCTGCACAAAATGTATGTATACATATATCCTATTATCAGTGTATTTAAAGGAAATTAGCCTAGTTAATCATCAGTGCTTTTAAAGAAGAGGACATATCATATGATTTTAGCAGGTGGTGTTTTTTGTAAGAATCTAATAAGAACTGATGGTTTTCCAGGCTTTAGTCTGAAAAATCATGTTCTGGGTTTAAATAGAAAGCATAGAGGGCTGTTAGAAAGTTGGTCCAATCCTTTGGACATTTGAATGCTTTAAATATTCCTAGGAAGATATAGTGCTCTAAAATTAAGCAATGAAAAGAGTATAAAAAGATAGAAGTAGGTTTTTTTTCCTTAAAGTATAGTTGATTTACCGTGTTACTAATTTCTGCTGTACAGCAAAATACATACATACATATATGTTCTTTTTTATATTCTTTTCCATTATGTTTTATCAGAGAATATTGAATATAATTCCCTTTGCTGTACAGTAAGACCTTGTTTATCCATTCTTTATATAATAGTTTTTGCATCTACTAACCCCAAACTCCCAATCCATCTCCCCTCCCCACACACATACACCTTGGGTACCACAAGTCTCCTGAGAGAGAGAAATTTAAGGAGTGTGACTTACATCAGGTTTACTACCAGTAATACAAATGTGGAGCCATATACATATATCCCACTTTGTGTAGTTCCTGTCTTCAAATTTAGATTACTATTACTTTAGTTCTTTGAGTTTTCATTAAAGGAATAAGTAGTTATCACATTTTTTAAGTATTGACGACTGTGTTTTACAAAATGATACTCAGGTGCTTTTAGTATTACTGATGATTCGTTAATTGCTTGATAAAATGTATAGTTTTAAAACTGACATGAAATCTGTCTAAACAAACAAGAACAGATAAGTTGAAAGAATTTATTAGACCATGTGTATCTGAATTCTAAAAAAGTGAAAAAACAGTTTTCTGGTGATTTTAGTTTGTGCATACTTTGTGGCTTATTCTTAAAAGAACAATATGTAGAGTTTACTACCTGTGGTAATTAGGTGTTAACTTTCTCTCTCTCGTTTTCTACCATCAGGAGAAAGCAACTCAGCAATTTCTACAGAAGAACTAAAAGAGTGTTTAAAGAAACAATTAGAATTCTGTTTCTCACGGTACACTATCATTTTTTAATTGACATTCTCCTCTTTTGAATTGTTCGATTAATATATGTAAAATACCAATGAAATATTAGACTGGTACAAACGTAATTGGTGGTTTCACACCATGAATTTTAAATCATTATAACAAGACTCAAACAGATCTTTATTAATCAAAATAGGAACCATTACAATCAACACATTTTCGCCAACGAGAAATAAGTTTATTTAGTCCTATAGTGTAAAAATTTGTGCTTCAGGATTTGACAAATTCTTGGAAAGCATTTTCTGCTTCCTGCTGGTTGTGGAAGCATTTTCCCTGCAAAAAGTTGTCTAGATGCTTGAAGAAGTGGTAGTGGGTTGGCGAGAATCAGGTGAATATGGTGGATGAGGCAAAACTTTGTAGCCCATTTCATTCAACTTTTTAAGGGTTGGTTGTGCAATGTGCAGTCAGGTGTTTTAGAAAAGAATTGGGCCCTTTCTGTTGACTAGTGCCGGCTGCAGGAGTTTTGCAGTTTTGGTTCGTCTCAGATTTACTGAGCATATTTCTCAGATATAATGATTTCGTCAGTGTTCAGAAAGCTGTAGTGGATCAGACTGGCAGCAGACCACGAAATAGTGATCATGACTTTTATTTAGTGCGAGTTTGGTGCTGCTTCTTGGTCCAGCCACTGAGCTGGTGATCGTCAGTTGTCATATAAAATCCACTTTTCATCACATATCACAATCTGATCAAGAAATGATTCATTGTTGCCTATAGTAAAAGAAGATGACCCTTCAAAATGATTATTTTGATTTTTATTCGGCTCATGAGGCACCCACTTACTGAGGTTTTTCACCTTTCCAATTTGTTTTAAGTGCTGAACGACTGTAAAATGGTCGATGTTGAGTTCTTTGGCAACTTCTCGTGTAGTTGTAAGAGGATCAGCTTTGATGATTGCTGTCAGTCAGTCATTGTCAACTTCAGATGGCCGGCCATTGCCCTCGTCTTCAGGGCTCTCTTCTTCATTGCAAAACTTCGTGAACCACCACTGCACTGTACGTTCATTGGCAATTCCTAGGCCAAATGGGTTGTTGATGTTGTGAGTTGTCTCCACTGCTTTACAACCCATTTTGAACCCAAGAAAATCTCTCCAGTTTGCATTTTGTCTAACATCGTTTCCATAATCTAAAATAACTATAAAATACGCAGCAAATAATAAGTCATTAGCAAGAAAATATAAAGCAAGAAATGTGCATTAAAATGATGTATAACAAAAAAAATAAAATGATGTATAATATAACCACATTTAAGAATATATTCCAATATCAAATGGCAAAGTTCAACAGTGTAAAACCACAAGTACTTTTGCACCAACCTAATAGAATGGAAAAATGTTTTTTTTAATTTCCTTCGGTAATGTATTTTGGTATCATTCTTCAGTATATTTGTTAACTAGATTTAAAGATATAGTCTCCATTGGATATGTAAAGGAACTATTCTCAGTAGAAAAATAATGAAATTTCATTTGGATATTTTTCCTATAATCATATTCATTTTTAGGGTTCTTAAGTTATCTCTTAATTATAGTTGTAGTAGTTTGCTCTTACAACATTTGATCATGGAGTTGTTTTTTAATAAGATGACATAGATTGTTTGAAAAGATGAGTATAAAAGTTTTCTCTTTTTTTATTTATGGGGTATAGAATTTATATTACCAGTTATTTCTTAGAAAAGGCAAACATTTTAAGATGTCTTATTTACAGATAAGAATTCAGAATTATGTAGGTATATTTGTAGCTTAGAAGTATAAAATTTTAATACATAGAACTTCCCCTTCCAGAAGAGATAGAAGTTGGATATGCTTGCAATGTAATGTCTTCTGTTTTTCAGAGGAGGACTAGTAAACCAATTTTTTAAGCTAGTAACCTGGATTTTGTTAGACTTGTTTATTTCTTTATATATAATACATATTGACTTGAGCTTAATTGATTCTTCATCTTAAATATCTCCCTTTTCTTCTCTTTTTTATTCTTTGCCTTGGTAGTCTAGTATAGGCCCTAGTTTTATAAAAGACCTGTGGCTTTTCCCTAGTCATTTGTGCCTGTGAGGCAATTCATTTTGTGTAACATACTTACGGCAGTTATTTTAAAATCTTTGCCTACTAACTGGATCATTTGTTTGCCTATATTTCTTGAGTTTTTTCCCTCTTAATTCTCTATTCATAGCTTCTGCCTCTTTGCAGGTCTTAAGCATTTTGATTATAATTTGGACACTACATATGCTGGCCACACCATATAAAAAGAAACTAGAAGCTGCAAGTGCCATAATTTCTCTCTAGACAAGGTTTGGTTGGCAGGAGCAGACTGATTTCTTCAATCTAGTCAGGCATTGAGCTTAGTCAGGGCTGAGCAGCCATTTTAAATAAACTCGATCTACCTCTGATTTATCTCTGTTCTTTTGGCATGACCCTCTTAGGCTTTTGATTTGGAAACGCAATTTTCTGTTAGCTCAGTCCTGAAACACCAAAGGAGATTTAGTTCTGTTGTTCAGAGGTTTGAGATGAGCTCTTTAGCCTCTTACTCTGTATAGCTTCAAAATCTGGCAGATGTCTCATCAAGAAGACCTGTCTTAGGTTTGATGCAAGGTTCCTTCTTCCACTGGGACTGCCACAGGACCACAGAGATTCTACTCTGCTTTTTCAGCCTGGCTCCCAGCCTTCCGTCTTCCTCCTTTGAACTCAGTAAATGTCATATGGAGGAAAACTGTGTGTGTTGGAGGCTCCTAACCATAACCCTGTGCAAATACCTGAGATAAAGATCTGCTAGTTTCCTTCTGGTCCAGGATCTGCACATAACCTTGGAAAAGAAAGATCATCTTCCTGGAATTTTATTTTGTCCTTGTAGCTTCCATAGCTCTCCTTTATCACCAAAAACATGACTTTTTGGTAATCTGTCCAAGCTTTTATAGTTGTTACAGCATGAGCTGAAGCTTATCATGATCTGCCACATGCTACTGAGAACTACAAAACAGTTCAAACCGGCTGGGCATTTGAGATTTGTAGCTCAGCAAACTTGCCACTGAGACATATTAGATTTAGTCATGAGCATATTAGGTATTAGGTCCTATCTCTTCATGGCAAATAGATGGGGGGAAAGTGGAAACAGTGTCAGATTTCATTTTCTTGAGCTCCAAAATCAATGCAGATGGTGACTGTAGCCACAAAATTAGAAGATGCTTGCTCCTTGGCAGAAAAGCTGTGACAAATCCAGATAGTGTATTAAAAAGCAGAGGTATCACTTTGCCGACAGTGGTCTGAAAAAGCTATGGTTTTTCCAGTAGTCATGTACGTATGTGAGAGTGGGACCATAAAGAAGGCTGAGCAGCGAAGAATTGATGCTTTCAAACTGGTGCTGAAGAAGACTCTTGAGAATCCCTTGGACAGCAAGGAGATCAAACCAGTCTATCCTAAAGGAAGTCAACACTGAACATTCATTGGAAGGACTGGTGCTAAAGCTCCAATACTTTGGCCACCTGATCTGAAGAGCCGACTCATTGGAAAAGATGCTGATGCTGGGAAAGATTGAGGGCAAGAGGAGAAGGGGGTGGCAGAGGATGAGATGGTTGGATGACATCAGTGACTTAGTGGACAGGAGTTTGAGCAAATTCCGGGAGATAGTGAAGGACAGGGAAGCCTGGAGTGCTGCAGTTCATGGGGTCGCAAAGAGTCAGACACTGAGTAACTGAACAATATTAGATATTAGTCGTAATCCTAAATGTTATATATCTATTAATTTGACTTAACTTCTGACAAGGTACGGTTTCTTTAAGGGTATGCCATTCTGTTTTATAAGAATAGACCTGCTGAAAGTCTCAGTCAATTTATACTACAGTCTTTTAGTTGTATTCATGTTTACAGTAGTCTTGTTTTCAGGTTCTTAAGGAATAAGACATTATGTTCTAATGTCCTTTCTTTTGTGCTGAAGGGAATTTGTCACTGTTATCCTCTGTATTCTTTTCCCCCCAAGACAAATAACCACTATTTGTTGACAGTTATAACCTTAAAGTAATTAATACTCTATTTTAGTATAATTTTTTAATTTATTAATTTTATTAAATAGTAAATAAAATGATTTTATTTATATATTAATAAAAATTTTAATGTTTATTTGATTATTTTGGTTTGTGTGTGTCTTTGTTGCTGCACATGGACTTTCTCTAGTTGTGGCAGGTGGGGGCTACTCTTTGTTGCAGTGCATGGCTTTCCCATTGTGGTGGCTTCTCTTGTTGCGAAGCACAGGCTCTGGGAGCACAGGCTTTAGTAGTGACAGCACTCAGGCTTAGTAGCTGTGGTTGCATGGGCTTAGTTGCTCCACAGCATGTGGTATCTTTGCAGACCAGAGTTCAAACCCATGTCCCCTGCATGGGCAAGCAGATTCTTATCCACTGTACCACGAGGGAAGTCCAATTTTAGTATAATTGGAATGTAAAGGCCTTGACCCTACTCTTTGCCAGGCACTAAGTCTTCCCAGGTGTCTCTAGTGATGAAAGAACCCGAATGCCAATGTGGGAGACATAAGAGCCACAGGTTTGATCCCTGGGTTGGGAAGATCCCCTGGAGGAGGGCATGCCAACCCAGTCCAGTATTCTTGGCTGGAGAATCCCCTTGGACAGAGGAGCCTGGTGGGCTGCAGTCTATACAATTGCAAAGAGTGGGCTTCCTTGCTAGCTCAGCTGGTAAAGAATCTGCCTGCAATGCAGGAGACCCCAGTTCAATTCGTGAGTCAGGAAGATCCCCTGGAGAAGGGATAGGCTACCCACTCCAGTATTCTTGGGCTTCCCTGGTGGCCCTGATGGTAAAGAATTCACCTGCAATGTGAAAGACTTGGGTTCGATCCCTGGATTGGGAAGATCCCCTGGAGAAGGGAAAGGCTATTCACTCCAGTATTCTGGCCTGGAGAATCCCCATAGACAGAGGAGCCTGGCAGTCTCCAGTTCATGGGGGCACAAAGAATCAAACACGACTGAGCAATTAAGCACAGCACAAGGCTTTGTAACCCATATTGAATGACAAAGGTACTTTGTGGAACCTGTATTCTGACTGAGGAGACAAAACAAATGTAATAAGCAGCTTAGAAGTGTATTGGATGATAAGTGCGTTGGATAAAAGTAGAGCTGAGTAAGCAAGGGAGGAATTGAAACAGGACTGCTTGAGTTGTTTTAGTTTTAAATAGGGTGGTCATTGAGATGATTTTTAAGCAAAGATTTCTAGCTATCTATAACCATACTGTTTCAAAGGTTTGATGTAAATTATAAGACATTAATTTGATTCTCCTTCAGTTAGTTGTTAAACAGGATTTTATGTGTAAGATAGAGTGTGTCTTCCTTTTTAAAAAATGTGAGACAGAATCTTTTGTCTTAATTTAAAATGATTTAAATTTGTTATTTTAGCTTTATTATTTAAATTTAAAAGTCAAATTACCTATTAAAAATGAAAAACATTAAAAAATTTAAAATCCCTCATGATCCAACTCATGCTTTACACTATATTCTCCATATACATGTTCTAACATCAGTGATAAAGTATGATGGAACAAAACTGTATGTAATATTTTGTGATACACCTTAAGCCTTTTTCCATATCAGTATAATTTGATAAACTCCCTTGTTCAAAACTATTGGGCCCCGTGTATTTAGGGATCCAGAAACTTGCCAGAAGTTGTAAAATGTATCTGTTGCATATTATGTATTTTCATAGTTTACCTTGTTATTTCTGATAGCATAATTTTGTTTTCCTAGATATAGTGATAAAAGTAAATAAGGTGTCTCTTTTCTTTAGGTGCTTTTTAAAGTTTGTTTGTTTTATAAGACTGTACTTCTCTTATTCCTTTCAGAGAAAATTTGTCAAAGGATCTTTACCTGATATCTCAAATGGACAGTGATCAGTTCATCCCAATTTGGACAGTTGCTAACATGGAAGAAATTAAAAAACTGACCACAGACCCTGACCTAATTCTTGAAGTTTTGAGATGTACGTAAATCATACCTTTTACTTTACTTTAAAAATCAAAGATTAAATATTCTTCTGATTTCTGATCATATAGGAAATTGTTTTTAACTCTATATTTCTTGCTATTCTGTGCTAATACTTTTTCTGTTTTTATTGACTGATACATATCTATATCATTGGTTAGTCATTGTACCTTTGTTGTTCATCTTGATACCCATTTACTCAAGTATAGGTAATTAAACCTCAGGTTTTTTTGACTGTTAAAACGCTCCCACCCTCTAAAGCAATGTGTTTCTTGAACAACAGTAAGAAGTAAGCTTCATGGCACAACCTAATATACACACTGCATACACAGAACTGAAATGTTAATTATGTAGATTAGTACTGAATGCTTGAAATGAGTTCATTTCCTTTATTCTGAATTTGTTTTCACAGCCTGTTAGAGAGTTGCGACCTGCAGTTTAACTAATGCTGCTCTAAAGTTTGAGTTTATATTTTTAGATTGAGGTTTAAGAATTTTTGGTGGTAATTGTGTCTTACATCAGCATTTCTTGGTAACCTGTCTTGTATGGGTTTTGTTAACTACTTGAGTAAAGACAGATTGTCACTTTTATATGAAATTTGTTTACAATGTTTAAAAGTTAAATACAGAAAGTCCAATAATAGTTTTACATAGGAGGAGGGATTTCCCTTCTCAGAGGAATAAAGATATTTATTAAATCTCTGATCACTTGGAAAGATAATTTCTTAAAATGACCCAGTCTTGTCAACATTTATAGAATTGGCCAAGAGACAGAATCTCCTACCTCCAAGGGCTGAAACCTAGGATTTATAAAGAAGCCTTCTTCCTTAACAACTGCTTTTATTCTACTTGCCTGTGCAGGAAGGTGTGGAATATTATCCTTTGACAGTACTAGAAATAAAAGTTTTGGCTTGTGGTACTACCATTATTCAGTATTACTCAAAAGCAGCATTAAAAGATGGCTTCTGGGTCTCTGTAGTAGTAAGTAAGAGTAGATGTTAAAATCACAGAAAGTTTGTAATGATTTCTATCTAATTCTTGGTTTAAGTGCTTCTCAGACTTGAAGAAGAATTTCTTCACATGTCAAAGCTTGTTACACTTACCAGAGTAGTGTTTGACTAGTGTATGTACATTGATTTTACTTGAATTCAGTAATTGTATATAGGGAAATACCTTATGAGAAATAATTACTGAATACTCTATGAAGGCTTCTTTTCAACTCCAGCTCTGTGCCAAGTGACAGAGCAAGTACTGAATATTTATTCAGTGAATAACATTGGACAGTGTTCTTTGCGTATCAATCTCAAGGTATTTTATCGTAACTGTAATCTTTGAATCTACCACTTGATTTTTTTAAGATGTTAGCCTCTGCTGATTCATTTAGTTGGAAATTGAAATGAATAGTTTTTTAATCGAATTATAATATCACTGTTTTTCACTTTTGAATGAAATTTTTTTTTAATTTCAGCTTCTCCCATGGTACAAGTTGATGAGAAGGGTGAGAAAGTGAGACCAAGTCATAAGCGTTGTATTGTGATTCTTAGAGAGATTCCTGAAACAACACCAATAGAGGTAAATCATTAGCATTGCTTGAGCTAAATATTCTTTACTGTTTAAATTGGAGGAGGTAAACAAGCAAGGTTCACTGCTGTCCTGTCAATTACTTTGAATAAAGTAAACACTGATTTGCTTAGTAAATTCTGAAATACTGAAAGAATGGCACACAGGGAGGAAAAAGATATAATTCTATTTTCTTAGAAGGCTAAATTTGACCATTGCAGCGATACTGATTCTCTATTAATTTAATTGAATGCCAATTAAAATATAAATATGCTCTTTTGGAGCTTGACAGTTAAACTGAAAGGATTAACTTAGGAATGAAAAATTTGAGTAAGAATTAATGATTTAGGACTGGTTAGCAAAATAAAGCAAAGCTGCAATCATAAAGATAGTATGGTATAGGTAGAAAGGTAAAATAATATTTTAATGAGACAGTAAATCCAGAAATGGAGAGTGACCTGGTGGCCTCGTGGTTAGGATTCAGGGCTTTCATGGCCATGACCTGGGTTCAATCTCTGGTTAGGGAACTGAGGTCCCGCAAGCCATGTAGTTTGGCAAAATAAAATGAATTTAAATAAAAATCAAAATAAAATTTAAAAAGCATTCAGTAGGTGTTCTATTTTTAAAAATCCAGAAATAGATCCTTTTATGTAATAATATAGTGTAATAGCATTTATTTAATAATCAGATGCTACCAACTCTCATACTATAGTTATTTAAAGCCTAAGACTTTTTGTTTTGATTTACAAATAAAGTAACTGAGCCTTGGAATGGTTAAATAAGACATGGACTGTTTTAAGTTATAGAATCTGGATTCAAACTTTAACCTTCCTGTTTCCAAAACCCATGTTTTTTAAGCCATGGAGCTTCACTCTGAGTTGTCATGTTAAGGATAAATTAGAGATGAGGAGGGTTAATCAGTAACTGATATGGTAATTGATTAACCATTTTAAAAAGAATTTTTAGACCCTTGTCACCTGTTTGACACATAAGTAGTTAATCTTTTTGCCTGAAGTCATTCAGTATTAAATTTCCAAAAGGATGATTTTCTAAACTTAGAAGCAGTGAGAGAAATTAGAAAAGAAACTGTCACTAGATAGATCTTGGATTTTAAATTATGAATTATATGTCAGAAGTAACAAATTGAATGGAAAATTGCAGAAAGGAAGAATATTTGCAATATTAAGAAAAAATTTCAAGTGTATGAGCCAGAAACTGCCCGGATTTGAATTCCAGCATTTTTGTTTACTAGCTCTGTGACCTGGGATAAGTTACTTAATCTCTTTTTGTGTTTGCCACAGTTTCCTCATCTATTAAATGGAATAATACATGAGTGCTATGTCACGTCAGTCCTGTCCAACTCTTTGCCACTCTATGGACGGTAGCCTGCCAGGCTCCTCTGTCCATGGGATTCTACAGGAAAGAATACTGGAGTGGGTAGCCATTCCCTTCTCTCAGGGATCTTCTGTTTTCTATATTGGCAGGCACATTCTTTACCACTAGTGCCACCTGGGAAGCCCAAATGGGAAATTTGTTGTTTAGTCACTCAGTTGTGGCTGACTCTTTGCTACCCCATGGACAGCAAGCAGCATACCAGGCTTCGCTGTCCTTCACCATCTCCCAGAGCTTGCTCAGATTCATATCCATTGAGTTTGTGATGCCATCCAACCATCTTGTCCTCTGTCGTCCCCTTCTTCTCCTGCTGTCAGTCTTTCCCAAGCATCAGAGTCTTTTCCTATGAATTGGCTCTTTGCATCAGCTGGCCACAGTGCTGAAGCTTCAGCTTCAGCATCAGTCCTTCAATGAATATTCAGGACTGATTTCCCTTAGGATTGACTGGTTTGATCTTGCATTCCAAGGGACTCACAAGAGTCTTCTCCAACAGCGCAGTTCAAAAGCATCAATTCTTCGCTGCTCAGCTTTCTTTATGGTCCAATTCTCATATCCATACATGACTACTGGAAAACAATAACTTTGACTGTATGGACCTTTGTTGGCAAAGTAATGTCTCTACTTTTTAATACGCTCTCCAGGTTTGTCGCAGTTTTTCTTCTAAGGAGCAAACGCCTTTTAATTTCATGGCTGCAGTCACCATCCGCAGTAATTTTGGAGCCCATGAAAATAAAGCCTCTCACTGTTTCCATTGTTTCCCCATCTATTTGCTGTGAAGTGATGGGACCGGATGCCTTGATCTTCATCTTTTGAATGTTGAATTTTAAGTCAGCTTTTGCACTCTTGTCTTTCACCTTCATCAAGAGGCTCTTTAGTTCCTCTTCACTTTCTTCCATAAAGGTGATGTCATCTGCATATCTGAGGTATTGATATTTCTCCTAGCAATCTTGATTGCAGCTTGTGCTTCATCCAACCAGATGTTTCGCATAATGCACTCTGCATGTAAGTTAAATAATCAGGGTGATGTTATATAGCCTTGATGTACTCCTTTCCCAATTTGGAACCAATCCATTGTTCCATGTCCAGTTCTAACTATTGCTTCTTGTCCTGCAGACAGATAGTTCCCAGAAGGCAGGTAAGGTGGTCTGGAATTCCCACCTCTTTAAGAAATTTGCAGTTTGTTGTGACCCACACAGTCAAAGGCTTTAGTGTAGTCATTGAAGCAGAAGTAGATGTTTTTCTTGAATTCTCTTGCTTTTTCTATGATCCAGCAAATTTTGGCAATTTGAACTCTGGTTCCTCTGCCTTTTCTAAATCTGACTTGTACATCTGGAAGTTTCTCAGTTCACATACTGTTGAAGCCTAGCTTGAAGGATTTTTTTTTTTTTTCCCCAGAAGAAATATCAATAACCTTTATTTATTTTTATTTATTTATTAGTTGGAGGCTAATTACTTTACTAGCTTGAAGGATTTTGAGCATTAACTTTCTAGCATGTAAAACGAGTGCAGTTATGCAGTGGTTTGAACATTCTTTGACATTGCCGTTCTTTGGGATTGGAATGAAAAGTGACCTTTTGCGATCATGTGGTCATTGCTGAGTTTTCCAGTTTGTTGGGATATTGAGTGCAGCACTTTAGCAGCAGCGTCTTTTAGTTGCAGTTGAAATAGTTCAACTGGAATTCCATCACCTCCACTAGCTTTGTTGATAGTGGTGCTTCCTAAGGCCCAAACTTCACACTCCAGGATGTCTGGCTTTAGGTGAGTGATCACATCATCAGGGTTATCTGGGTCATTAAGATCTTTTTTGTATAGTTCTATATATTCTTGCCACCTCTTAATATCTTCTGCTTTTATTAGGTCCATACCATTTCTGTGCTTTATTGTGCCCATCTTTGCAGGAAATGTTCCCTTGGTATCTCTGATTTTCTTAAAGAAATCTCTAGTCTTCTCCAGTCTGTTGTTTTCCTCTACTTCTTTTCATTGTTCACTTAGGAAGGCTTTCTTATCTCTCTTTGCTATTCTTTGAAACTCTGCATTCAGAGTTCCAAATGGGATAGTAGTAACCAGTGAAATTGTGAGAATTGAGTTATTATATAAAGAGCTTTGAGCAATACTTGGTACATTAGCCATTGTTATTATTTCTGTAGTTATTATAGTTCATATTCTGCATACTTAAGAGTGCTTATACAGATGAAAAACAGCAGATAAAGAAAGCAACACACTATTCATTAAAAGAAAAAAGTAAAGTAAGTACAGATGACTAGCCAGAGAGGGTTGATCTTGGCAGTAGTCCCTAAAATTCAAATTAAATTGAGGAGATTTGGATGATGACCTGAAAGACTGCTGTCAGGTAGAATAAATTCTGATTTGTTTATATCCAGATTTCTTATACTTGGGAAAATAAATCTATGAATATTATTCTTTCTAAAGAATGATAAAAGGATAAAAATAATAGATTATGTTAAGATTTAACTAAATTCATTATACTATTTAAAGGAACTGGAAATATCTGAAGAATATTGATAAATTTTTGAAGGTAGAAATCAATGGGTGGCAGTCTAATAAAATCTGTCACTGCTTCCACTTTTTCTCCATCTGTTTGCCATGAAGTGATGGGACTGGATGCCATTATCTTAGTTTTTTGAATGTTGAGTTTTAAGCCAGCTTTTTCACTCTCCTCTTTGACCGTCATCAACAGGATCTTTAGTTCCTCTTTACTTTCTTCCAGTAGAGTGGTATCATCTGCATATCTGAGGTGGTTTATAATTCTCCTGTCAATCTTGCATGCAAAGGCTTTAGCGTAGTCAGTGAAGCAAAAGTAGATGATTTTCTGGAATTCCCTTGCTTTCTCTATGTTCTGGTGTATGTTGTCAGTTTGATGGGGTTCCTCTTCCTTTTCTAAACCCAACTTGTACATCTGGAAGTTCTCAGTTCACATATGCTGAAGCCTAGCTTAAAGGATTTTGAGTATAACTTACTATCATGAGAAATAAGTGCAGTTGTATGGTGGTTTGTACATACTTTGAACACTGACCTTCTTTGAGGTTGGAATGAAAACTGACCTTTTCCAGTCCTGTGGCCACTGCTGAGTTTTCCAAATTTGTTGACTTATTGAATGCAGCACTTTTAGCAAGCAGCATCTTTTAGGATTTGAGATGGTTCAGCTTGAATTCTAGCACCTTCACTAGCCTCATTTGTAGTAATGCTCCCTAAGGCCCACTTGACTTCACATCCCAGGATGTTGGATTCTAGGTGAGTGACCAGACCATTGTGATTATTATCTTCATTAAGACCTTTGTTGTATAGTTCTTCTGTGTATTCTTGTCACCTCTTTTTAATCTCTTTTACTTCTGTTAGATGCTTACCATCTGTCCTTTATCGTGCCCATCCGTTCATGAAATGTTCTTTTATATCTCCAGTTTTCTTAAAGAGATCTCTAGTCTTTCCCATTCTGTTGTTTTCCCTGTACTTCTTTGCACTGTTAACTTAAAAAGGGCTTCTTATCTCTCCTTGCTATTCTCTGAAACTCTGTGTTCAGTTGGGTAAGTTTCCCTTTCTCTCTTGATTTTTGCTTGTATTCTTGGGCTCCAAAATCACTGCAGATGGTGACTGCAGCCATGAAATTAAAAGACGCTTACTCCTTGGAAGAAAAGTTATGACCAACCTAGACAGCATATTCAAAAGCAGAGACATTACTTTGCCAATAAAGGCCCGTCTAGTCAAAGCTATGGTTTTTCCAATAGTCATGTATGGTTGTGAGAATTGGGACTATAAAGAAAGCTGAGCACTGAAGAATTGATGCTTTTGAACTGTGGTGTTGGAGAAGGCTCTTGAGAGTCCCTTGGACTGCAAGGAGATCCAACCAGTCAATCCTAAAGGAAATCAGTCCTGAATATTCATTGGAAGGACTGATGCTAAAGCTGAAACTCCAGTACTTTGGCCACCTGATGCAAAGAACTGACTCATTGGAAAAGACCCTGATGCTGGGAAGGATTGAGGGTGGGAGGAGAAGGGGACGACAGAGGGTGAGATGGTTGGATGGCATCACTGACTCAATGGACATGAGTTTGAGTAAACTCCAGGAGTTGGTAATGGACAGGGAGGCCTGACATGCTGTAGTCCATGGGGTTGCAAAGAGTTGGATACGACTGAGTGACTGAACTGAACTGAACTGAACTTCCCTCAGCTATGTGTAAAGCCTGCTCAGACAGCCATTTTGCCTTCTTGCATTTCTTTTTCTTGGGGATAGTTTTGGTTACTGCCTCCTGTACAGTGTTAACAAACCTCTGTCCATAGTTCTTCAGGCATTCTTGTCTCCCAGATCTCATCCCTTGAATCCATTTGTCACCTCCACTGTATGATCATAAAGTATTTGATTTATGTCCTACCTGAATGGCCTAGTGGTTTTCTATACTTTTTAAAATTTAAGCCTGGTTTTTGCAATAGGGAGCTGATGATCTGAGTCATGTTCAGGTCCAGGTCTTATTTTTGCTGGCTGTATACATTTGGTCCATCTTTGGCTGCAAAGAATATAATCAATCTGATTTCGATACTGACCATTTGGTAATGTTCATGTGTAGGTGTCTCTTAGGTTGTTCGAAAGGGGTGTTTGCAATGACCAGCACATTCCCTTGACAGCACTCTTTGTTGCCTTGTCCTTCTTCATTTTGTGTTCCAAGGCCAAACTTGCCTGGAGAAATGCAGGAAAATACTTAGCACCTAGAAAATGCTAATCTAGTACCTTCTCCTTCCCCCCACCACTCCCTCCCCGCTCCCATTTTTTAGATAGTGATAGGACTTCAGAGATTTTTCTTTAAGGAAGATTTAGCTTGCCATTAGGATGGAAATAATTTTTCAGTTTTACTGATTATAAAATAAATTTCCTTCCCTAAATCACGAACGCAGTTTACACTATGACTGTGCATATTCTTCTTTTAGAGCATAATTCTAATCAACAGAAAAACGGGTAGAAGATATAAACCGTTACTAAGTAAAGAAATAGAAAGGACCAAAAGACATGAAGAGGAAAAACTGCCTATGATTGATATATTTTTAGGATTAACTGAAGTTTTTCATTTTTAGGAAGTAAAAGCTTTGTTTAAAAATGAAAACTGCCCCAAGGTGATAAGCTGTGAGTTTGCGCACAATAGCAACTGGTATATCACTTTCCAGTCAGACACGGATGCACAACAGGTGAGAAGAAAGCTTTTCTTTTGATTTGAACTGCTGATGGTAAAAGAGATAGTGTATATTTTAATTGAGAAAAATTTGTGCTTAGAATAATGTTTATCAAGACTTCGGAGAACTTTGTTCACCTTTTTGGTTTTACTTTCTAATTGGTTTCCTTTCTGATGATCTTCCTAAAGCTTTGTTTCAACATAAGAACAGTTTCCTATCAATAAAAAATTAGCACACAGTTTTCAAATTAACATGTACTCAGTAGCTAGTATTTCTGTTACATACTAGGCCGCAATATATATAACTTCTGATTCTTGGAATTTTGACATAATGATATTACTCTTAATTGTTACCATGTTTTATATAAAGATAAGTAAAATTACTTTGAAACAAAAATTTATATAATATTTTTAAGTCACTCACAGATTTGTCTTAATTCTTCATCTTAGAAGGCTCTCTGAACCTATTTTAAAATTGATACATAGTGATATTTTGGGTCTTTTCTGAATTTTGTACATTTTATCTGTAGTGATCCATAGTAGTTACTGCATAATAGATGTTAACTGTAGCCGAGGTCTTAACATTTCTGCTTTTTCATTTCCTATCATCTGCATAATGGGATCACCTTCAGAATTTTTTATAGTTTAGAGATAGTTGGTAATATTAAACCTCTCAATAGAATAATGATCACTTTAATGAAATATTTGAATGCTAATGAAAGTTCCTTTCTGCTTTGTAACAGGCTTTTAAATACTTAAGAGAAGAAGTTAAGACATTTCAGGGCAAGCCAATCATGGTAAGAAACATTTGTAAGTAGTCCAGTTTCAGACAAGAAGGTTTTTGTTGTCTGTTAACAAAGATGAATGACATTTTATAAATCACATAGTGAGTTTAAAGAAATTTCTGACTCATATGAAATGCTGTTTCAGAAAATTAGTTGATAGAACATTAAAATACTTTCTAAACAGCAGTAACTTCCGAAAGTATAACTTCAGACAGCTTGAAGTTTTAGTTAGATGCTGATTGACAATGTGTAAGATAATTGTAGATCTCAAAAGTTAGGAGCAAGAATGAGTTTTTAGCAACGAAGTTGAGAAACAGTCCCCATTTCCAACCTCATTTCAGTTAACTGCATCTATGCTAATACTCAGCTATTTGAGAACCTGGAAGTTGTCATTGATGATACTTGGCTCACTATTTACATGTCTAATCTGTTCTTACAAAATCCACTTCAAAACTTCTTTCAGTCATTATTGCCATTGTTTAGGCTTGAGAGATTAGAATAGCCTTTTAACTATTATGCCTTTGGCTTTCCCCTCCTTAAAACCCATACTCCACATTATTACCCAACCTACCATCTAAGATAGAATCCTAAACATGCACTTACTTTGACAAGCTCCACATTCCCTGTGTAATATGTAATTATTGTTTGCAAGTGTGGTGTGTTGTTCTTACTCTTATTTAGTTCTTAACTGTATGTCAGTGTCTATTCTAAGCATGGTGTGTGTGTAGACTCATTTAATTTTTACAGGAACCTAGTAAGGTGGGTACTCTCCTTTTTACTGGTAAAGAAAGTGAGGCCTGAGAGTCACCCACCCAGTTCCACATAACTAGTAAGTGAAAGAACCAAAGTGAGAGAAGCTTACATTTATTAAGAGGTTGTGTCTCAGATACTGTTCTAAGAACATGACATATTAAATCTCACTACTGCTGTATTATTACTTTCCATGGTGGTATTACTTTCCATATTACGAATGAAGGTATCTGCCAGTTGTCATTCTAGTTCCTCTGCCTGTAATGCTCTTCTCCTTATTTCCTTTCCCTGCTTGAGGCTGTTAAGATATTCCCTGAGGCCTTCTAACAACTGCAAAGTTTTATATGTCAGGTTTAGGTCTTTGATACATCTGGAATTAACTTCATATATAGTATAAGACAGGGATCTAGTTTCATTTTCCCCTCATTTATAGAAAGGCAGTTGTGTTAGCACTTATTAAGTGGTCTGTCCTTCCACAAGTTGTGTGTAATGTTGCATCTATCCTATATATCTCTAGTTGTTTTAATTACCATAGATTTCTAACATCCTTTTCTCCTTGTACAAAGTCTTCCTCCTTGTGCTTTTTTAGAATTATCTTGAGTATTACTTTTCCATATGAATTTTAGGATGTTTGTCTAATAGTAACAACCAACCAAACAAAAACCTTATTGGAATTAATGGGATTACATTTAATTATTTGATTAAGTTGGGGACATTTGGCAGTTTTACCCTGAATTATTCATTATTGTGGTAACTTTATTATATTTTCTCTATTCAAGTCTGTTGTATTTCTTATTTCCTTAAAGAAATTTTTACTGCTTTTTTCCCCTCTCGTTGGTAACTTAGTGATTTTTTTCCAAAAATGTTTTCATTTGTAACAGCCTTGCTGAACTCCTTAGATCTATTAGTTTGTTGGGCCTTTTGGATTACTTGCTTGATAGATCTTACCAATAAATAATCACTATTTTGATTATTCCTTATACCTCCTGTATCTTATAGCTTATTGCTTTAGCTGCGATCTCAGGTTTAGTGGTAAATTTGTCCCTTCGTTCCTTCCTTTCTTTCATTATAAATAGTTTTCTTCTTTCTCTGCCATTTTGGTTTTCATCTATGGTTCTTTTGATTATCCATCACATCGTCCATGGGGTTGCAAAGAGTCAGACATGACTGAGCGACTGAACAACAACAACAAAGCAGTATTCTTGCTAAGAGAGTCACATTAATTTTTATATCATTCATTAAAACCAGATGACCTTGCACCCAGAAAGACACATGCAGGAGCAAGAAATTGTATGTTCCAGGCCTTGATGCTATTTTCAGCCATACATCCTTTGATCTGGGCATGTGATTTACCCCTAAGGTCTTGGTTTGTTTCTTTGAAGTGTGCATGCTTTTCATTTCTGAAGTTCTCTGGTTCAAAAGCAGTGATCTTGGAGGACACAAGGATTCAGTGAACAATGCTTGCCCTCCTGTGCTGTGGATAATTTCATTAAGAGGCAGTACTTCCTGTTTTAATTGAGCTTTTATGACTGAGAATATTGTTTTATTTGGATTTCATATAAATTGTATATATTATAGAATATGTATATAGTATATATGTTTGCTTCTATATATATTTCTATTGCGTATTTACTGTTTCAGAATTTTTAGCTGTGAAAGTAATACTTGTATGTGGTAAGAAGGTCAAGTGATTCATAGTAAATTAATTAATTAAATCTCCCTCTCAGATTCCTCTAGTCATTTTCCCTATAGGTAATATGAGAGAGCAGGTTTTTCTGCATGCCTTATAGAGATCTTTTTTGTGTCTCTCTTTATGGAAGTAGAAATGTACAGTGTATATATATCTGTTGTTTTTTCATAGTAGATCCTCAGGATCTTTTCATTCACCATTGTTTCTGTTATACATACAACATTATTCGTGTATATCATGATTTAATCATTTATCTCATGGAAAAACATTAAGTTGTTGCTCTGTTTACAGATAATTTATAATGTGTGCTTTCTGAAAATTTTTTTATTATTGTGATAAAATATGCATACATGCAATTTGCCATTTTTAAGTGTACAGCTCAGTGGCATTTAGTACATTCACATCACTGTACAATCGTTACTGGTAATTTTCAGAACAAAAACTCTGTAACAAAGTTCCCAAACATCCCAGCCTCCCAAATAAAAATGCTATACCCATGAAACAACAACTTCCCATTCTTCCCAGCTGCTGGTAAAACTTCCCTTCTAGTCTCTTGTCTTTCTGAATTTACCTGTTTTAGACGCCACAGACAAATGGAAATATGTGATATTTGTTCTTTTGTGTCTGGCTTATTTCACTTAGGATAATGTTTTCAAGCTTCATCTATATGGAGCATGTATCAGAACTTTATTTTTGTGTATGTGTGTGTTTTATAATCCATTTCTCTTTTTTAAAGATTTTTTTTCAAAAAATTTATTTTTGATTGAAGGATAATTGCTTTACAATACTGTGTTGGTTTCTGCCATACAGCAACATGAATCAGCCATAGGTATAGAACTTCATTACTTTTTATTTGATGAATAATATTCCACTGTGTGTATATACCACATTTCTTGTATCCATTATCTATTGAAAGATGCTTGGGTTGCTTCCATCTTTGGATTATTGTAAACAATGCTGCATAACTATCTGTTTGAGTTCCCATATGTACCGGGAATTACTGGGTAACATGATAATTATATGTTTAACATATTGAGGAGTGCATAACTGTTTTCCGGAGAAACTGTATCCTTTTACATTCCCACCAGCAATAGAGGAGGATTCAAATTTTTCTACATCCTTGCCAACACTTATTTTTGCCTTTTTGATAAAGCCAGTGGGTAAAAGTGGAATCTTATTATGCTTCTGGGTTTCATTTTCCTCGTGACACAAGATATTGGGCATGTTTTCATGGACTTCTTTGACATTTTTATGTCATTTTTGAAGAAATATGTATTCAGGCCCTTTGACCATTTTTATTTTCTTTTGTAAAAATATTTTTTAATTTATGACTGTATTGGGTCTTAATTGCAGCACGTGAGATCTTTGTTGCAATACGCGGACTTCTCTCTAGTTGTGGTGTCAGGGCTCAGTAGTTGTGGTGTGCAGGTTTAGTTGCCTGGCAGCATGTAGGATCTTAGTTTTCCAATCAGGGATGGAACCTGCATCTCCTGCATTGGGAGGCAGATTCTTAACCAGTAGACCACCAGGGAGGTCCCTGACCATGTTTTATATTGGGTTATTTGTTTTTTTGTTGATTTGTACCAGATCTTTATATATTCTGAATATTAACCTCTGGTCAGATATATGATCTGCAAGTATTTTTTCCCATTTTGTAGTTTACCTTTTGACTCTCTTCCAAGTGTCCTTTGAAACACAAAAGTTTAATTTCTGTGAAGTTCAATTAATTTTTTTGTTGTATGTGCTTTTGGTGTCATACATCAAAAATCATTGCCAAATCCAAGATCATGAAATGTTAACCCTATGTTTTCCAACAAGGGTTTTTATGATTTAGCCTTTTCTTTCTATTTATTTTTTTAAAAATTTATTTATTTTTATTTTTGGCTGCACTGGGTGTTAGTTGCTGCACGCAGGAACGGGGGCTACTCTCTTTTGCAGTACTCGGTCTTCTCATTGCAGTGGCTTCTCTTGTTCAGAACACGGAATCTAGGGTGTGGGGGCTTCAGCAGTTGTGGCACGCAGGCTGTAGCGCACAGACTCAGTGGTTGTTGCACAAGGGCTTAGTTGCCCTGCAGCGTGTGGAATCTTCCCAGACTGAAGACTGAACCTGTGTCCCCGGCATCTCACAGGTGGATTCTTAACCACTGGACCAACAGGGAAGTCTCTAGAACTTTTAAAATTGGAGTCAGTCTTCTCAAGCTTTGCCACCACTTTAACAACTAAGTTTATATAATATTTAAATCCTTTCTTATCGTTTCAACAGTCTTCCACCATCTTCATCAGAAGTAGATTCCATCTCAAGAAACCACTTTCTTTCTTCATCCATAAAAAGCAACTCCTTATTTGTTCAAGTTTTTTTATGAGATCAGAGCAATCCAGTTCCATCTTCAGCTCTATTTGTAATTCTAGTTCTCTTGCTATTTCTACCACATTCACAGTTAACTTCTTCCAGTAAACTTGAGTCTTGAACTGCTCAGTTATCCATGAAAGTTGGAATTAGCTTCTTTTAAACTCCTATTCATGTTGGTATTTTGCCTTCTTTCAATGAATAATCTTAATGGCATCTAGAATG